TTGTTTGATATTATTAAAGCAATAGAAGCAACATGTGTAAAGTGACAATGGCTTACATTTTCTATCTCAACTTTATCAGTATTTCAACTGAGTCTCATGTGTTACTGTTATCCAACTGAATCTGATCAGAAAGATAGAAACTTTAAGGAAAATAAAAAACACAAAACACCTATTTTGCTTAGTCAAGATTATAAAAGATCTAACCAATTTTCTATTGGATCAAACCAAACAGTGAAGGAACAAGCGTCAGTTGTGAGCTGTGTAATAAACTTGTATACAATCACTCACAAATCTACTACTTCTGCATTACTACTCCGATAAAAAAAAAAATTCATAATTCACCTTCTGTTACATCATCTTCTTCCTTGTTCCAGTCTAAACCCTATCCCTACAAATCGGACAAGTAGCGACTTTAATCAACCACGAGTCCACACACTTGCGATGAAACACATGTCCGCATCTAGGTAACCTCCGACACCACTGTCCTTGTCTGAATCCATCGATACAAACAACACAATCGCTTCCAAACTCTGTTGGCTCATAGAATTTGAACTGAGGAAGCATCTTCACGCATCTCCAAGATAACCCATCTGAGGATTCGTGACGGCGATTACGTCGGAGACGGTGGCGATGGTTCCGGTGGAGAAACCAGTAGAGAGCGAAGAAGAAGAAGGTGAAACCGAGAGATGTGAGGATGAAGAGGAAAGCGGTTACTGCTAGAGGGATCATGATTAGACATACAAGGATTTTCGATAGAATCTTCGTTGATAGATTAATCGTGTGAGCCTTTGGCGGAGACGGAGATGGGTCGCCGGAGATTGGGTCATAGTGGGGAATAGGTATCGACATCGGACGATTGCGGCGGAGCAAAAAAAAAAGCTTCTGGTTTTTGCTCTTATGAATCAAAAGTTTTAAAGATTTTTGTTTTGATACACTTACAAATCAGAGGAATTCCAAAAAGGAAAGTGAGATTTGAAGATCGAAAATTACAATGGATTTAGGTATTATGTCTCAAGGTCTCTGTGAATTTCAATTTTATATATGAGTCTTGTCTTATAATTAATTGGTTATTTACAAAACTGAGGGAATATTCGGACATTTTTATATTTGCTATGAAGATAACGTCTAAATTCTTGTCCTATTCTCGTGATAGTAGTGAGAAAAGTTTTCTTTAAAATTCTTGAAAAAATGTATTTTTCTTTTATATTTCGGAATGAGATTTGACATAACAAAATTGTACTAGTGAGAAAATTTTTCTTTAAAAAAAAATGTATTATTCTTTTATATTTCGGAATGAGAAATGACAGAACAAAATTGTGCAGCGAAAAGGAAAAATTTATAGCTATTTGAGTTTCTTGTCAAACTTAGCGGCTTTCTAGAGATTAAAGTTTCATAGTTTCTAAAAAATTTTGGACTTACATTTTTGGTAATTTTAATTTGATCCTCGCATCCATATTTTATAACACAACAATGCTAATATTGTTGAAGAGCAGTGCAAAATAAAACATATAGTTTTGCTGTATCGTATTATCATATTTTAGATATCTGATAAAAATTCAAAAA